AATCCGGGTCCTATTTGGCATGTGGGTCTTTGGATCGGTCCTTGGGCTTCGCGAATTACTTTGAGGCACGGTTCCTTCTTTTTCTGTTATACCGATTTTGCCTATGACAATATTAAACCTTTAAAATATCAAAGATACTTTGATTGATCCATGCAGAGTTGTGAAATACTTATATCGATGCATAATTGACAATAACTATCGTTATCTATTCAAAGGAATTCACTTCTTTACGAGATTAATGGATAAGGTAGTTTTTTTTAAATAATTTAATTAGGGAATTGCAGAATTATTTTGCGAAAATTTGATTCGGTTGAAATGTGACGTAATTAAGATATTTTAAAAATCTTAAATCAAGTCCTGAACATTCTTATTTATATTATCATTTTTAATATCAATTACATTCTAAGCTACTTTTAACGACTATTACGTTAATAAAAAGGTTTTATTTTGTGAAATCAGAGTCTTCGGACTCACATTTCGGTTTTCTTATTCAATATTTGAGTTAAAAATTCGATTTTTTTTTTATTTTCGAAATACACAATTTTTCATTAATCCTGAAGTCCCCTATTCAATGTTTATAAAATCGAGTAAATTTTAAAGTTTCTAATTAATATTACAATTATTAGAGGTTGCGAGGGAGTCGTTCTTTTATATTTAATTTCATCAAGACCCACATTTGAAAGAGTATATAGATTTTATGACCAAGTTTTAAGGGTCCACGATACTGAAGACGTCCCTATAATTCTTGTTGGTAATAAAAGTGATAAAACTAGAGAAAGAGAAATTTCAAAAGAAGATATGAATATGGCAAGAAGATTAAAATGTGAATTCATAGAAACTTCAGCAAGAACTGGTATAAATGTGGATCGAGTATTTTATAATGTTACTAGAATAATAATGCAATCAAAGGAAAGTGAAATGGATACACAAGAATGGGAAACTACGAAAACTAAAAAAGTACAAAATTGTCTTATCACTTAATCTAATAATATGGTTTTAAATATTATTATTTTAGCATAATAAGTAATCTTATTAATCATCGGTTTTTCACTAGTAATTTTATATAAAATAAATTTTGTAACCTCAAATAATTCATGTAGACTATCATTATTTTTGATCACTATTTTTCAGCTATAGAAAAGAGAATGATTTACTGTAAAGTTTTGATTTTGTTATAATTAAGTAAAATTTGACATTTATTAACTGCGATGTCACATTGTTACGTTGCAATCTTTAGTATAATAAAATCGTAAGAATTTAAAATTAAATACTCTTTATAAACGTAAAAGTTAAATATTCATAAATATTTAATTGGGTAATAACCTATAATAAACTGATGTGTTTATTAGATAACAACTTTATTTAGAAATCAAAAGGACATTTATTCTTTATAATTTATTTATAAACCTGAAGGATGTAATTTATTGTAGTCTTATGTCAGTAAATTTTATAATAACTGCAATAATAAATACTATTGTAGTTATCTTATTTGAAGAATAATTGAATTACAATTAAAATTCTCTTTGCTATCACATAAAAATTACATAGACGTCAAGGCATTGAATTCCCTTTTCAGCGTGAAAGTTATATTTATGTTGAAAATAAATAAAGTCGATAGCAGAAAGTCATAAAATTATTTAAAATCCTAGGCAGCAAGTTAAAATGAACGAAGTATCTTCAATCCGATCTGATTGGTCAAAAGAATTATGATATTTATGATAAATTCTCGATTTAACATACTCGTGTAACAGAATACTGTAAATAAATACTGTATCTGATATGTGAAAATTCAATAAATTTAATGCATTCATACGTAACACGCATTCTTTTCTTGCGTTAAAATGTCGATTAAAAAAGGCCTGAAAGTTTTTTACAATAAATTAATTGTGGAAAAACCAGAAAAAGATGGAATTGTTAAGGAACTGTGTAATCTGTATAATGAAGAAAGATCCAAAAGCAAATATTCTGAACAAATTCTCGACATATTGGATACATTTCTAGCAAAAAAGAATCAAAATCCAGATAATATCATAAATTGGTGCTTGAATGATAAAATAAATCCTACGGTTCAAGTCATTCTGGCAGATTGTTATCGACATGGTAAATGGGTTGAAAAGGATGAACAGAAAGCATTCCTTTACTGTCAAAAATCTTCTGATATGGGTAATGCTAGTGGAATATGTCGTCTTGGTTATTGTTATACTTTTGGAATCGGGGTTGAAAAAGATGATCATAAAGGATTCATTTATTATCAAAAATCTGCTGATATGGGTGATGCTCTTATTCAATCAATTCTACTATATACTAATTCACTTCATACAGCTACACAGATAACTATTAAGTTGTTTCTTAAACTTAATTCAAAAATCTACGAGCAACTATGGTTACTATACTGCTCTGAATATGCCAACTAGAAGCATTAACATAATATTCACATACTACATTTAAACTTCCAACAAAACAGTAGAAATAATCAACCACTAT